GGGCCCGCGGCGGCGGGCGGCGGGTGGGGCGGCGGGGCCCCGCGGCCCGCGGCCTCCTTGCGGCCCGCGGCCGCCGTGTGGCACCGCTTGGGCCCCAGGGCTCTCGGGGCGCGGCGGCGGGCCGGCGGGTCCCCGTCCCCCCCCCGTGCTCAGTGCTCCTCTCCCTGTAGTTTTCTCTCTTCGTCCCTCCTCCCGTCCTCCTCTCCCTTATGTTTCCAGTTTTCTCTCTGCCTCGCTGTTTATACTTTCCTCTGCCGTTGTTCCTCCTTTTCGGTCCCCTCTCTTCCCTCCCCCTCCCCTTCTAGTCACACCTGGCCCCTTCGGAGGAAGAAGAGGAGGATAAGGAGGAAGGAAAGGAAACCGAGGAGATCTTATGAGGATGCGAACTCAAACGGACGAAAGTCAGGCACTACCAGCACCACCAGCGATACTAGCAGAAGCGATCGCACTAGCAGCACAAGTAATAATAGCATTTCTCTTTATTAGTAGTAGTTTATTAGTAGTAATAGTGGTGGTGGCACTACGGATTAGTAGGAGGAGTACGAGTAGAGGTCGGAGTAATAGTATTACTAATGGTAGTGGTAGTAGTAGTAGTAGTAGTAGTAGTAGTAGTAGTAGTAGTAGTAGTAGTAGTAGTAGTAGCAGTAGTAGCAGCAGTAGTAGTAGCAGTACTAGTACTACGATTCGTCGTAGTCGTAGTCGGAGTCGTAGTCGTAGTGGTAGTAATAGCGGTCGTAGCAGCAGTAGTAGTAGTAGTAGTAGTAGTAGTAGCAGCAGCAGTAGTAGTAGTAGTAGTAGTAGTAGTAGTAGTAGTAGTAGTAGTGTAGTAGTAGTATTATTCGTAGTAGTAGTAGTAGTAGTAGTAGTAGTAGTAGTAGTAGTAGTAGTAGTAGTAGTAGTAGTAGTAGTCGTAGTCTGCGTCGTCTCCGTAGTAGTCCTAGTAGTAGTAGTAGTAGTAGTAGTAGTAGTAGTAGTAGTAGTAGTAGTAGTAGTCGCAGTTGTAGTAGTAGCAGTAGTAGTAGTAGTAGTAGTAGTAGTTGTAGTAGTAGCAGTAGTAGTAGTAGTGATGATAGTAGTGGTAGTGGTAGTGGTAGTGGTAGTGGTAGTGGTAGTGGTAGTGGTAGTGGTAGTGGTAGTGGTAGTGGTAGTGGTAGTGGTAGTGGTAGTGGTAGTGTAGTAGTGGTAGTGGTAGTGGTAGTGGTAGTGGTAGTGGTAGTGGTAGTGGTAGTGGTAGTGGTAGTGGTAGTGGTAGTAGTAGTAGTAGTAGTAGTAGTAGTAGTAGTAGTAGTAGTAGTAGTAGTAGTAGTAGTAGTAGTAGTAGTAGTAGTAGTAGTAGTAGTGGTGTAGTGTAGTAGTAGTAGTAGTTAGTTAGTAGTAGCACCACGGCGTCCTGTCAAGGGCATCGGAAGGCACGAAACAGCCCGATACAACCTACCCAGAGGAGGAGGAGGAGGGGAGGAGGAGGAGGAGGAGGAGGAGGAGGAGGAGGAGGAAGAGGAGGAGGAGGAGGAGGAGAGGAGGAGGAGAGGAGGAGGGGGAGGAGGAGGGAGGAGGAGGAGGAGGAGGAGGAGGAGGAGGAGGAGGGGGAGGAGGAGAAGGAGGAGAAGGAGGAGGAGGAGGAGGACCTCCCCATCCTTCTCCCTCGCCCTACCTACGGTAGTGGCGGTGGACAGTTGACCCATCAGCCCCAGGCAAGGAGTTTTGAGCCCGGGCTCCCCGGATCTCGGCGGTCGAGATTCCCAGACCCCCTCGAGATATGAAAAAATCGTGACGGAGAGTTTTCCGCTCTTTTCGGCCCCATGGAGCCCTCACCGGCCCTCGGGACCGACAAAACAATGACTCGGGACGAAAAACCGGTTCCAGAGAATGGGTCTAGAGTCCAGACCGTTGTGGGTCCACGTCTTGAAAAATTCGTGACGTCGAGAGCTTTGAGCACAGGCAAGGCGTTGTGAGCCCATGCTCCCCTTCAAGCTGTGACCAAGCGTCCTGGCTCGCCTCTAAAGGCCCACCAGAGAGAATGTTCCTTTGAACCTTTTGTGGTCTGCGCGATATGTTCTTAGAGCATTTCGGCTGGGGATGTATTGTTTTGGCGCATCGGGCTTATGTTCTCAGAACATTGTCTTTGTTCTTAGAACATTTCTGGATCCGAAGAAACTTGTCGTGGTAGGCCTATACAAGAATGCTGGGACGTTCGGTCCCTACTCAAAAGGGTTTTTGAGCTTAGATTCCCCTAATCTCGGCGGTTTGCGGACGTTTTCGGACGTTTTCGTCGGCGCTCAGCGGTTCGCCAGCCTCGGGATACTGGCCAGCAGCTGCGCCTCGCCGAGGGCGTTCTGGAGGTGCCCGGATCGTCCGAACGGCCGCCAGAGACCATAGTTTTGACCCAAACGCCAGGTTCGGCGGCGCACCCGGGGTGGAAGTGAGAAGGTGAGGGCCTTCTCATAAGGCGGCTGGGCTTCTCAGAAGGCTTTCGGCCTTCTGAGAGGTTTGCTGCGTCTTCGGGGAAGGCTTGGGAAAGCTTCTCGGAAGGCCGGGGGACTTCCGACCCTGCTGAGAGGGCCCGCCCCTTCGCTTTTCACCCCCAGGCCTCGCCGCCAAGTGTTGAGCCCGGGCTCCCCTGATTGGGCCGACCGACCGGGGGCTACGCTGCTTGCAGTTGGTTTCGCCCCGCCGCCGACCGAGCCCATTCCTCGATGCATGGGCGCCTCTCAGCGCCAGGACAACCAGCTGATTACGTGAGCTGATTGTCTACCCTGCCCTTCGGCACCGCCTGTTTTCTGAGCCCTCCGGTCGCCTGAGGCCCCGCCCGCCTGCGCCCCGTCTCCCTGATTAGGGCTACCCGCGACCCGTTTACCTCTTGACCGGAAGGGGCCCGCTCCCGACACGCCGACCAAAAAGTCTACCGTGCCCTCTGCTATCCTACCCTCTTCGTGCCCAGACCCGAGATCCGGCGTTTCATCATGGTGTTCCAACTTTTTTCGCACCTGGCTTCTTCCCCCAATCTCGGGCCCCGGGATATCGATCCGGCGCGAAGAGCGCAGCGGAAGGATGATGGGGTCCAGGGCTTTGGTCGTGCTTTTTCGCGATGTGGGCCAGGGCGCCCCGCGCCGGGGGCCCAGGGGACGCCGCGGCCACGCCGCGACCAGCTCTCGGGACCGTCAAGGAACGCCCCAGGATGAAAGCCTGGTCCCGGGAAAGCTGTCCAGACCTTGGGGTCCACGTCATGACAAAGTCATGACGTCGGGGGTCTGGGTCCCAGGAAGAATTGTTCGGAGCCCATGCCGCCCACGTAGGGTCGAAGCAGATGGGGTCGGAGGTGGATCGCGCACCATCGCGGACGCATCGGCGATGCGGCGTGACGCACAGCCTGATTTTCTCCACGCCGACGTCGCCGGTATATCGGCGATGCGGCGCGATCTGCGCGATCCTCCGAGCTCGTCTACTCGGTCCCCTTCCTGGCGGCCTCCGTTGAGGGAGACGGGTCCTGGTGGTTGTTCGCCGTCTTCGAGCGCCCCCAGGGTCATCGCCCAGCCCCCGGGGCAGTCAAAACATTGCGTATTCGGGTTGTGAAGAAGCGAGCAGGGGATGGACTACAGAAATGATTTTCTCCAGGGTTGATTTTCTCGTCGACTCTACGCGCAATGCGTGGGGTGCTCGTAGATCTGCAGAGCAGCCTTCGCATTTGTGCAACATTTCCACAGGAAAATGAATTTTGGGGCAAGTCAAGCTTGTCTTGTGGACGACGATCAGTGGAGATACTTTCCAGATGTCTACTACATGTGTTAAACATGGCTTAAACATGATTTACACATGTAACAGACATGTCTTAAACATGCTTAGAATACTTGTCCTACATTGTGAACACTATCTAACTAAATTTATTGGTAGGACCCTTAGGGTGTCCATTGTCGTGGCATCCACAAAGCCTCTTGGTGGCCGATCCCCTACTCAAAGGAAGTGCTCTAACAAGCCCTCTTGGAGCCATCTTGGACCAAAAGGACCCTCTGCCACCTCGCGGGGGAGCCCTTCCAGACGCAGGGAGGGGGGGGGAGGTAAACCTCCCGAACAGGGAAGGGAAGGAGGTTGGAAAAGGAAACGCCCTAGACCACCTGCGCCGAGAGGGCTGGTGGGATTTTGGGGCAAGTCGAGCTTCTTGGCAGCCGATCCCCGAAGTCAGAGGAGAGTGCTCCTGCGGGGAGGCCCCCGAGGGCCCGCCGGCCGCCCGCTGGCGGTCCGTCCGCCGGCGGCGCGCCTCCCCCTCGGGGCAGGGCGCGCGACCCAAGCGCCCCCGGAGAGGCGGGCGCTCCACGGGGCCGGCTGGGCATTCCCCCCTCCCAGACCCCCTCGAGTTAGGGAAAAAATCACGACGGGAGTTTTGTTCCTTTTTTTTTAGCCTCGGGGGGCCCCTGCCGGCCCTCGGGGCCGTCAGAAAAGGACGCAGGACGAAAAACCGGTCCCAGGGAATGGGTCCAGACCGCTGGGGGTCGACGTCATGAAAAATGCATGATGTCGGGGGTCTGGGCTTGAGGAGGTGCTCCGACCAACCCTGGATCAGCCCCTCCCCCCAGACCCCCTCGAGTTGTGAAGAAGTCGTGGCGGGGAGCCTGTCGCTCCTTTCGGCCCGTGGGGGTCCCTCGCTGGCCCTCGAGACCGCCAACAAAACGGCTCGGGACGACGAACCGGCCCCAGGGAATGGGTCCAGCCCGCTGGGGATCCACGCCATGACAAATTCTAGACGCTTCGCGTATCCCCACCAGCCCGTCCAGAAACGACGCCCAGGGGTCGATCTTGGACGCTCCAACGCGCCGCGGAACCCCCTGTCCAGGTCAGTGGGGAGGGGGTAGGGGGAGGGGTAAACCCCTCCCCGAAGGGGAAGAAGGAGGGGTGGAAGAGGAAACGCTCTAAACCACCGACGCCCAGAGGGCTGGTGGGATTCATGACGTCGGGGGTCTGGGTCCTGGCTCTGGCTGTGGCTTCCCGTGTTTCTTCATTCGTGCCAGGAGGAGCCTCCGAAGCCGCCGCGCCTGCCCCCCGCGGCGCGGCGCCGGCCCGACCTCTCCGCGGGCGCGCCCGCTGGGGCCGTGTTCGTGCACGGGGCCGGCGACTGCGACCAGCTCGGCCTGGGGGACGCTTGCCGGGAGCGCCGCAAGCCCGCGCCCCTGCGCGCCCTGGATGGCCACCATGTGGTCTCCCTGGCGTGCGGCGGGCTCCACACGCTCTGCCTGACGTCGGACGGGCGGGTCTTTGCCTGGGGCTGCGGCGACGACGGCGCGCTCGGTCGACCGGGCGGCCCAGGGGACTGCGAGCCGCGCCCAGTGGGGCTGCCCGCAGGTGCGGCGGTCGGCGCAGTGGCCTGCGGCGACAGCCACAGCTGTGCTCTGGACCTCTCTGGCCGGCTGTGGTTGTGGGGCAGCTACAAGGACTCCTACGGGTTCGTCGGGGTCCCGCGCGCCGGGGGCTCCGTGCTCGAGAAGAGCCACCAGCCCGGCCTGGTGGAAGGGCTGCCTCCAGTGGCCGGAGTGTCCAGCGGCTCCAACCACACCCTCGCCCTCTCGGCTTGTGGCCAGGCGTTCGCCTGGGGGTCCAACCAGACTGGCCAGCTGGGCATCGACAGCGCGGAGTGTTGCGAGTGCCAAGAACCCGAGGTGGGGATTTTCCGTAACCACCGCCTGGGGGTCGATTTACTAGGGGACATCGCAGTCGGTGGATTCTGACATGTGTTGGCCCCTCTGGGGCCAACGTATACATATAACGGCGCACCGGGTCCGGGGGCCCGGGGCCGGGACCTCGACCGCAAATGTGCACCCCGGGGGGCCCGGAGGCTCGTCGGGGCTTGCCGGAGGCCTCCCCGGTCAGACAAGACGGCCCCAGAAACGCCCAAGACGGCCCAAGAAACTTCCAAGAGGCCTCCAAGAGGGCTCCGAGATGCTGAAGATGGCCTCCAGACGTCCAAGGACGCCCCCCAAGACGCCCCAAGAAGCCTCCAACATGCGTCCCAAGAGGGCCCCTAGACGCAAAAATTGGCCCATTCCCTTCGTAAAACGTACATTTTTCACAAAGTTGCCTTTTGGGCTTTCCGACATTACAGGACGGCCCAAGAGGCGCCCAAGACCGCCCCAAGACGGGCCAAGAAGCTCCCAAGAGTGCCCCAGGACAGCCCAAGAGGGCCCCAAAACGGCCCAAGAGGCGCCCAAGATGGCCCAAGAGGGCCCCAAGACGGGCCCAAGAGGGGGCCCAGAGGGGGACCACGAACCGCAAGCTCGAGCCTTCCGCCCCAAGAGGCCGCCAGGAGGCCCCCAGGAGGCCCCTCAAGAGGCCCCAGGAGACCCCAGACGTCCAAGGACGCCCCCAAGAGGCCCCAAGAAGCTTCCAACATGCGTCCCAAGAGGGCCCCTAGACGCAAAAGTTGGCCCATTCCCTTCGTAAAACGTACATTTTCAACAAAGTTGTCTTTTGGGCTTTCCGACGTTACAGGACGGCCCAAGAGGCGCCCAAGACCGCCCCAAGACGGCCCAAGAAGCTTCCCAGAGGGCCCCAGGACAGCCCAAGAGGGCCCCAAGACGGCCCAAGAGGCGCCCAAGATGGCCCAAGAGGGCCCCAAGGCGGGCCCAAGAGGGGGCCCAGAGGGGGACCACGAACCGCAAGCTCGAGCCTTCCGCCCCAAGAGGCCGCCAGGAGGCCCCCAGGAGGCCCCTCAAGAGGCCCCAGGAGACCCCAGACGTCCAAGGACGCCCCCAAGAGGCCCCAAGAAGCCTCCAACATGCGTCCCAAGAGGGCCCCTCAGACTCCAATTGCGCCCATTTGGCCCATTCCCTTCGTAAAACGTACATTTTTAACAAAGTCGCCTTTTGGGCTTTCCGACGTTACAGGACGGCCCAAGAGGCGCCCAAGACCGCCCCAAGACGGCCCAAGAAGTTTCCCAGAGGGCCCCAGGACAGCCCAAGAGGGCCCCAAGACGGCCCAAGAGGCGCCCAAGATGGCCCAAGAGGGCCCCAAGACGGGCCCAAGAGGGGGCCCAGAGGGGGACCACGAACCGCAAGCTCGAGCCTTCCGCCCCAAGAGGCCGCCAGGAGGCCCCCAGGAGGCCCCTCAAGAGGCCCCAGGAGACCCCAGACGTCCAAGGACGCCCCCAAGAGGCCCCAAGAAGCCTCCAACATGCGTCCCAAGAGGGCCCCTAGACGCAAAAATTGGCCCATTCCCTTCGTAAAACGTACATTTTCAACAAAGTTGTCTTTTGGGTTTTCCGACGTTACAGGACGGCCCAAGAGGCGCCCAAGACCGCCCCAAGACGGCCCAAGAAGCTTCCAAGAGGGCCCCAGGACAGCCCAAGAGGGCCCCAAGACGGCCCAAGAGGCGCCCAAGATGGCCCAAGAGGGCCCCAAGACGGGCCCAAGAGGGCGCCCCGAGGGAACCCCACGTGGGCCCAAGGAGGCCCAAGAGGGACCCAAGAGAGCCCCAAGAGAGCCCCAACATCGGTCACGCGGAAGAGCTCTCGCGTGACCGATGTTGGGCCCCTCTGTGGGCTCCTCTTGGAGCTCCGAGAGGAGCCAAAGATGGCCCCACGAGGGCCCCGACGAGACCCCAAGAGGACCCAAGCAGGCCCAAGAGGGACCCAAGAGAGCCCCAGCATAGGTCACGCGGAAGAGCCCTCGCGTGACCGATGTTGAGCCCCTCTTTGGGCTCCTCTTGGAGCTCCAAGAGGGGCCCAAGATGGCCCCACGAGGGCCCCGAGGGAGCCCCACGTGGGCCCAAGGAGGCCCAAGGAACCCCAAGATGGCCCCAACATCGGTCACGCGGAAGAGCTCTCGCGTGACCGATGTTGGGCCCCCTCTTTGGGCTCCTCTTGGTGCTCCGAGAGGAGCCCAAGATGGCCCCACGAGGGCCCCGTCGAGACCCCAAGAGGGCCCAAGGAGGCCCAATAGGGCCCCAAGAGGGCCCCAACATCGGTCACGCGAAAGAGCTCTCGCGTGACCGATGTTGGGCCCCTCTGTGGGCTCCTCTTGGAGCTCCGAGAGGAGCCCAAGGTGGCCCCACGAGGGCCCCGACGAGCCCCAAGAGAGCCCAAGAGGGCCCCAAGAGCGCCCCAACATCTCCTCTCCTTCCTCCTCCTCCCTCCTCTGCATCTTCCTCCTCCTCCTCCTTCTCATCCTCCTCCTCCTCCTCCTCCTCCTCCTCCTTCTCCTCTCCAGGGGAATGAAAACCAGAGGATAGCTCACGGAGAGCCCAAGCACCCTCTTGTTGCATCCATCTTGGCTTCCAGATGGAGCCCAAGAAGGCCCCAAGGAGGCCCCTCAAGAGGCCCCAGGAGACCCCAGACGTCCAAGGACGCCCCCAAGACGCTTCGCGTCACCAATTTCTTCTCGCAGCGATTCCTGGGTCTGTGACTCGACAGAACCTAAGCGCGCGCGAAGCGCGCGCGTGGTTCTAGTATCTGTATATATAGATATATATATATATATATGCCTATATCTATATATGTGTAACGATGTATGTATGCATGTACATGTGTATGTACGCACGTATGCACGTATGTATGCATGATTGTATGTATGTATGGATGGATGGATGGATGTATGTATGTAGGTATGTATGCATGTATGTATGCATGTATGTATGTGTGCATGCACGCATATTCATGTGCACGTTTGCATAGATGCCTGCATGTATACCTGCATGTGTATGTAGGTGTGCAAGTATGTAGGTACGCAGGTGCATATGTGCATTTACATGTGCATGAGCATATATGTATGTCTGCATGTAGGTATATATGTATGTTTGTACGTGTACATGTATGTCTGTATGTATGTGTGCATGCATGCGTGCATGTGTGTATGCATGTATGTATGTATGTATGCATGCATGCATGCATGCATGCATGTATGTATATGTGTGTATGTATGTATGTATGTATGCATGTATGTATGTATGTATGTATATATGTATGTATGTATGGGTACGTGTACGTGTACGTGTACGTGTATGTGTATGTGTATGTGTATGTGTATGTGTATGTGTATGTGTATGTGTATGTGTATGTGTATGTGTATGTGTATGTATGTATGCATGCATGCATGTATGCATGCATGCGTGTGTGTACTTATACATATATATATATATATATGTGTATGTGTGTTTGTGCGTAGTATGTATGTATGCATGCATGTATGTATGTGTGTAAGTGTCTATGGGTGCATGCATGCATGCATGCAGGCACGCATGCACGGATGGATGGATAGGTTGTATGTATGTATGTATAGGTGTGTGTATGTTTGTGTACGTCTGTGTAAGTATGTGTACATCTGCGTATGCATGTGTATGGAAGTAGATATGGATGTATGCATGTGTGTGCGTGCGTGTGTTCAGGTGTTTGTGTACGTATGTTTGTATGCATGTATGTTTGCATGCAATGCATGCATGTCACGTTTGTATGTGAGCACGCATGCATGCATGGAGTTATGCATGCACGTGTGCATGAATGAATGCATGACTGTACGTAGGTATGCATGCATGTATATATGCACGTATGCATGTACGCATGATTGCATGTCTGTGTGCAAGGGTGAATGCATGCATGCGTGCATGCATGCATGTATGTATGTATGCATGCATGTATGTAGTATGCATGTGTGTCTGTCTGTCTGTCTGTCTGTCTGTCTGTCTGTCTGTCTGTCTGTCTGTCTGTCTGTCTGTCTGTCTGTCTGTCTGTCTGTCTGTCTGTCTGTCTGTGTTGTTGTATGTACGTGTGTGCATGGTGTATGTATGGTTGTATGGTTGCATGTATGTATGTACGTATGCATGTCTGCATGTATGCATTTGTATATAACTGGTTATATTCAAGATATGTATATATACACATAATGACTGTCTGACCGTGACCATACTACTTTAGGGTCCCGAGCTGGCCCTTTTCAGGGTCTCTTGAGGCCGTTATCGGGCCGTCTTGAAAGCATCTTGGGCCGTCTTGGGACCCGTTGGGGCAGTCTTGGTCCCTGTATGTGATTTTGGGGGCTTGCTGGCGCTGCTCTGGGGCGGTCTGCTGTGGGCCCTGTTGGGCTGTGTTTGGCCCTCTTGGGCCGTCTCGTCTGGAGCCCATCCAGGGGCCCTCTCGGAGCGTCTTGGGGCCGTCTTGGGCCCCTCTTGGGCCGTCCTGGGCTCGATTCCCTCTTGGGCGCTCACTGGGTCATCTCGCAGCGACCCTGGGGATCTCGTCCGCCTCGAGCGACCTGGACACCGAAGAGCCGAGAAATCGAACATGACACCGAATCTGAAAAAGATAGAATGTGTGCCGTGCCCCTAGGGGGCCTCTGGGAAGTTGTGTTCGGGCGCCCTTGGGCCGTCTGGGGAGCCCGTTGGGCCATCGAGTGGCCATATTGAGCCCATCTTGGGCCATCTTGGGCCTATCGTGACCGTCTTGGGGAGCCCGTCGAGCCCTCCTGAGGCCTCCTGTGGCCCTACAGGGCCATCTTGGGGCCATCTGGGGTCGTCTTGGGCCTTCTGGCGCGTTCACGAATCAGCCTACCTGGCCGCATCCGACGTTGTGCAGGATCAAACTTTTCTCTGAATAAGGGAACCGGTTGAATTAGCACATGTGTATATACATACACCTATATATATGTGTGTATATATATATATGCGTATATATACATGTATATATATATATATATATGTAGATGTGTGTATTTATGTATATACACATCTACATATCTATATATATATATATGTATATATAGATATGCATACATTCACATCCGTATCTATGTCCCCATCCAAATCCATATCCAGCGCCCGCTGGGGTCCCTGACGCGACGTCGGCTCCACAGGCGGTGGGCACGGATACGCCCCCGCCTCGCAAGAAGAGGAGGGCACCTCGCCGGGCGGGGCCGGGCAGCGGTCGTCCGCGCGCCGGGCGACGCTGGCAGAGAGGCAGGCGCTGCTGCGGCCGCAGGCCCTGCGCCTGGGGCCCGAGGTTCGGGGCGATCCAAACTCACCAGCCACCAAACCACCCCAACCCCAACCCGAAGGCCTGAATTTGCCCTCCATTTCCAGTGGGGGGGGGGTCCGGGAACGTCGAAAAACACATACGGAGCCCATACCCCCCCCACCCAAAATTCGGGTCTTCGGGTTGGGTTGGTGTGGTCTGGTAGGTAGTCACAAACGGGCACGGAGACAGCGGGTGCCCTCGTCTCCTCGGGGGTGCCGGAGCGCGCGCGTCGGGTGGGGGCGCGTGCGCGGGCGGCTCCCCTCGAGAGGCCCGGAGCGGGGAGGAGGAGGCCGCAGGCGGTGTGCCGGGGGGCGGCGGTGCCCGCGCAGGCCCCGCCGAGGGAGGCCGGCAGGGGCGAGGGAGCCGCCAGGCTGAGTGGAGCAGTTCGTGTGCATGCCGGACAGGACGAACGAACAACATACACCCATACCCATAGGGAGGTCGTTGGGAGGAGGACTGGCTATGGGTATGCGTGCGGGTTGTCCGACCGTGGGGAACGCTCCCGTTCGAGCGGGGGCCCCCATCCGACAACACGCACCCATAGCCCTCTCCGATCCCCCTATGGGTATGGGTGTGTGTTGTTGGTTCGTCAGGACAGGGCTCGCTGTCCGCGCCGTCGCGGACGTTGTGCACTGAAGACAGAAAGCCGCCTGCCCAACAGCGGCCGCTGCCTGTTTCGGGCAACGTTTGTTGTTGGTCATTGTACGCATGCTTTTCGTACCCATTCGGGCGTCCGAAGAGGTGCGCGGCGCTTTCGCGTCCGCGGAGGGCAGCTTCTGGACCGTGGCGGGCGCCGCCTTCGGTTGCGGCCTGAACGCGGACGGGCAGGTGGGCTCGCCGGCAGCTGACGGGAGCCTTTCCTTCGCGTGCCTTCGGGGCCCTCCGTCTTCCGAGTGCATTTTCGCGCGCAGCAGCGTGCAGTGGCGTGCGCTGGCACGCCCTGCAGCGTGCAGTGGCGGGCACGTCCTTCTACAGGACGAATGTTCAAAAATTATCAAGCATAGCCTGGGGACGATTGTTTAAGTGTTTTTGATTATGTTTGGAATATTTGTTTTGCTATGTTTAAAAGACACCTGTAGGGGGGCATGCCCGACCTAACGCTGGCGTCTGGTGATCGATGATCAAGCGCAGATTTAGCGTCGACCAGCGTCGACCAGCGTCAGTCAGCGCCGATTCGCAAGAGCCAGCAGCATGCAGGAGGAACAGAAGCACACAGGCACAAAGAAGCGCCGATATTCCCAGGAGCATGTGGAACAGATGGGAAGTGGGGGGGAGAAGACGAGCATCCCGAAGATATGCAAAAAAACAAAAGCGTGACGAGGGAGGCTCGCGCGAGTTACCGCAGAAGGTGGGCGTGGGCCACGCCCGCGCCTGCGTGGCGCGTTACCAGGAGTGGGCGGCGAGCGAGCCTGAGAGGTGAGAAGGAGAAGGCCTTCTCACACGGCTGGGAAGCCCCCCACGGGCCTTCCGAGAGGTTTTCTGAGCCTTGCCAGAAGACGCAGAGCAAAAACCTCCCAGCAGGCGCGAGGGCTTCCTGAGCAGCCCCGCCGCCGTCTGAGGAGGCTCTTCTCCTCCTCGCTTCCCCCCCTCGCCCGCCACCGACAGGAGGTGCCCGAGATCGGTGGCGCCGCGTGGATCGGGGGCGGCACCCGTTTCTCCGCCGCGCTGGTCGGCGGCCGCGTAGCCCCTTGCCGCCTGCGGCGAGGCCCGCCCGCCGTGCCGGCGCAGCGCCGGGCCCTCCCGGGTGGGGCCGGAAGGACCGCGCGGCATCGCCGATGCATCGACGATGCGGCTCGGTGTAGAGGCCGCGCTTCCACACGCCGACGTCGCCGATGCATCGATGCATCGGCGGTGCGTTGGCGATGCGGCGCGGTCCTTCGACCCCGTCTGCTCGGACCCCGTCGGGGGGGCCCCTAGCGCCAGCGCAGCAGAAGGGGCGGCGACGCCTCGCGCACCCCGCCCAGGAAGGTGGGGTGCTGCCGGCCATCGGGGCCCGGCTGCCCAGCCATCGGTGGTGCATCGCCGATGCCGTGCTCGATGTTTTCCCCCCCCTACCCAGACCCCCTCGAGTTATGAAAAAATCACGACGGGAGGTTTTTCATAATCTTTGGCCTCTGGGGGCCCTTACCGGCCCTCGGGACCGTCAAAAAACGACTCAGGACGAAGAACCGGTCCCGGGGAAAGGGTCCAGACCGCTGGGGGTCGATGTCATGAAAAATTCATGACGTCGGGGGTCTGGGTACGCTGGTCCCCCCTGTCGTCGCCCCCCGGGGGGGGGGGGCGTGCGCGCAGAGATGCGTCCCAAGGGAGGGGGGGATGCTCATACGACTTCATAGAAACCCTGCCAGACAGCCATGATCATTCTACCCAGGGGCTGGATACACATGAAGTGGCTGGCCACGGCGAAAGCTGGATACGCGTGTGGCCAGACGTCGTGCCAGCGTTCGGCCCTCCTATGGCCGTGCATGCTGGGCTTCCGCATCTATTATCCTCCCCGCGTGGCCTCCACATGTTCCACACATGGATTCAGGCATGCGTGTCTCCAGACCCCCGACGTCATGATTCTTTGACGTCGACCCCCAGAGGTCTCGACCCATTCCCCAGGGCCGTTTTTCATCCCAAGTCGTCTTCGACGGGCCGGGCAAGGGCCCCCGGAGGCCGAAAGCAGCGAACAGACATCCCGCGGTGAGTTCTTCATGACCCGAGGGGGTCTGGGCCTCCAGCTTCCTGGTGCCACGCCTCAGCGCGCCAAGGGGGGCACGCCGGCGGATTCACGTGGGGCAGGGCGGCGGAGTGTGGGCGCGGCGAGCCGGCGCACTCCGCGCTGCAGCTGCGGCCCGCTCCGCTGGACCTGCCGCCCATCCGCGCGCTCCGCTGCGGCATGAGCCACGCCCTGGCGTGCTCTGCCGATGGCGAGGTCTTCCTCTGGGGCTGCGGCACCACGCACCAGCTCGGCAACCGGCCCCGCTCCGCCGAGGACCCGCACGACGCCGAGGCGGAGCCCGGGGACGAGCTCGTCCCGTACCGCCTGTCGTCGAGGCGGCTCGAGGGGCGCTTCGTGCTCCTGGCGGACGGGGGCGCGCAGCACACGGCCGAGCTAGTGTGGCGCGAGGGCCCCGACGGGGTGCAGGACCCGTGCGCGGAGAGTGACTGCGAGGAGGCGCCCGCGGGGCCCGGCGGCGAGGCGCCCGCGCTCGAGCCGCCTGCGGCCGCGGAGGCCGGCGGCGGCGGCGACGTGGTGGTGGTGAGCACCAGCGCCGAGTTCTGGCGGGTGCAGGTCGAGGCGGTCTACCGGCGCCGCAACCCGTACAAGCTGCAGAACGTCCCTGCCCTCCTGGAGAAGTACAGCGGCCGCGAGGCGACGCTGTACGCCAAGGTCTGCCTGAAGTACGGCCTGGACCCCGGCCGCTTCTACGCGGATCCCGCCGCGTGGGAGGGCGAAGAGGGCGACGTGAAGGACGACGGTGAGGATTCGTCGCCGCGGCTGCGCGACGAGACCGGCGGCGCGCTCCCAGCAGCGACGGCCGCCGGGCGCAGCGATGATGCTGGCGGCGACCCGCCGCCCGCAGAGCAGCTGCTGCTGCTGCTGCCCGGCCAGGCCGCCGGCCCCGCCGGCCCGCCCTCCTCCGCCCCGCCTGCGGCGGAGGGCGCCCCAGCCGTCTTCTACTTCGGGGCCACCGCCGCGGGGGGGAGAGGCTCGAGCAGTGGCGAAGCGTCCTGGCTTGCCCATCGGCCCACCAGAGAATGCTCTCAGAACCGCTTGCGGCCTGCGCGAAACGCCCTTGGACTGTCTTTTGGCTGATCGAGACCGTCGTGTTTGATCGGGGGAGCGTAAGACCCGGGTTTGCCAGGACTCGGGTTCGCCATCGTTTTTTGACGACCGCGCCTCGGATTTTGACGAGGAGGAGTATCGTGGGATGTCTGCAGCGGGAGGCCTCGTCAAAATGCAGGCTCGGCCTCGTCATTTGTTTGACGACCTCGTCGGGGATTTCCGAGTCCCCTGTACCCGGGTCTTACGCCCCCCTGATTTTAGCACGTCGGGTCTGTGCTCTGAGAGCATGTTGTTTTCGCTCTTAGAACATGCTTGGGCTCGAAGGACACGTCGCCGGGACGGTCGGTCTCTGCTCGTGAGGCGGGGGAGCCGGCGACAGCGGCAGCTCGGACGGGGAGGGGGGCGCCCCGCCCACCCGGGCGAGGCGGGGGGCGGCCGCCGCCGGGGCGGGGCCCCGCGGCGAGGCCGCGGCCAGGCCCCGCGGGCCGCGGGCGGGCGTGCTGAAGGCGAAGCGGCCCCCGGGCGGGCGCGGGCGGGGCCCGCGGTGACGGGGCGCCCCTGCGCCCCTGCGCCGCCCGCTGTCGCGCCCATCCCAGGGTCGAAGAAGAAGAAGATATGGCCATAAGCATGTACTCTTGGCGCTCCGCGCGGACTTCTGGGATCTGCGCCGGGCCCCGCCAAAGGTTTGTGCTTATGCAGTTCGTTATTTTTCTTATTCTTCTTCTTCTGCCTGCGCCCCTGCGCCGCCCGCTGTCGCGGCCTCCCTTGCTGTGTTTTTTTGTTGTCGGCCCTGGCGACGCCGCTGCTCCTGCGCCCCCTTTGGGGGCCGCTGCTCCTCCTCCTCCTCCTCTTCCTCCTCCTGCTCCTCCTCCTCCCCTCCTCCTCCTCCTCCTCCTCCTCCTCCTCCTCCTCCTCCTCCTCCTCCTGCTCCTCCTCCCTTCCCCCTCCGCCGCTGCCGCCGCACCTGCTCCTCCTCCCCCTCCTCCTCCTCCTTTTTGACCTCGCACCGCCATGCCTCCGAGACTGGACTGCCACGCACTGAGCCGAGACGCACACAGGACGTGACCGCGAATTCTTACATTAATGCTTTGAATTCATCACAGAAGATTGAAACTCCCTCCTTGTCAGGGTGATAGCCTTTCTTGAGCTTCCTGAAATTCCGAATTCCAGTGACGGTGGGGGGCCTGCAGACGCGACCGAGGCCCAGCACCTGAGCACCACTCGAATAAAATTTACAGGACAAGCACACGAAAACATGAGAGGCGTCGGAGCACGGCAGGGCGATCACCCTGTGTCCTAGTCTCTCTAACACACCCTGATCCAGTTTGGATTTCCCAGGGCACACGCTATCTGGCGGATTTTTATCCCCAGGCCTCGTAGAACCCTTCCAGCAGACCTCACACCTCCAAAGCCCACTCGAGCGCTTCCACGAGTGAGCCAGCACCAGTTTTGGGGCCGCGAGGGGAGGGTTGACTCTCTCAGAGCCTCTGAATTCGAGATGCGGCCACTCCAGCAGAATAGCAGCGCCCAGCTTTAGGACGTGCTTGGCAATCTTAATTTTCCTGTCCAGCTCATCAAGGTCACGCGGGTCAGCAGAAGGGTGCTTCTGTAAGGCACTCTTCGCTACATGATCTGCATAGAAATTCCCTTGCCTCGCAAAGCGCTCGGACGCAGAAATTCCTTCCTCGTCCAAAGCCTTGTGCGCCTGCACCTTTGTGCAGGAGCGAAAGAACTTGCCAAACAGGTGCCGAGCTTGCAGGATCGCTCCTCCGTACTGCTTTTTGTGGGAGAAGGCACTAGCAGCAGAGAGGCCTGCCTGATCGACTACATTCTTGCAGTCGATATAAAGATCTGTCTCGGCAGAGGCGTAGCAGCTCGACCAGAGAAACGCAGCGAATTCCGCTCCTTGAGGCGTCTGCGGGCAAGGGGCCCAAAGAGGGCCCGAGACCTCCCCAAGGAGCGAACCATCGTTAGAAACCATCGCAAGGCCCCAGGAGCTCCTAGAGAGCTCACGGACCAAGTGCCGACGACAGGAACCGTCGGTAAAAACGTGCCCCCAGAGCCCGTCGGAGGGAAGGACAGGAGGAGAGTCGGGGTGAGGAGAGGGGACCTCTGCCACGTGCCACTTGATCTCCACTCCTCCTTCCGAGGCCGGCTTAGGGAACACATCTCCAGGGTGTTGAAAGCAACCAAACAGAAATAAAAGTCGGTCATAACCTTTAGACGCGGTGTCGAGGGCTTCTTCTTGAATCCAAGTCGGCACAACCGCATCACGAATGGCGCGGACCTCTGCACACTGACACTGCCACAGCCGATGAAACAGGGTATCGCTGGCTCGGCCGCAGCGCGCGCACAGGGGCGAGATAGACACATATCCAGCAGCCACTGCATCGGATGCCGTCCAGAATCCTCTGCAAGCAAGGGCCCTGATGAGGCCCTTGTCCTTCTTGGGAACCTTAGAAGAGCCTAATAGGTGCTTGGCCACGTCCCAACAGAGCCTGTGGCCCGCCCCATAGCTGTCCCCCGAGTCACGTTCCAGACCACGAAGCACGGCCTCCTTGCAAAGCAACTTAATCATCTGAGGAGTATTCAGAGTCAGCGGTATTTCTCGGCCGAAATCGCCCTTGAGGGTGCAAAAGTTCGGCATGGACCAGCCCAGCCTATACAAAGACATCCTAAGGGCAGAAATCGGGCCCGAAACTTTACTCCAACTGAGGTCGTCAATCAGAAAAACATGCTCCCAGCCAGATCTGAGCTCGGCCCAGGACAGACTCCACTCGAAACAATGAGTCTGGAGAATCCAGATCTCTCGCGACCAGCGGACAATCGGGGCCACGGCCGCCCTCCAAGGGGGGTCGCCCTCCAGGAGAGAGATGACAGACAGAGAGCGGCCTTGCGCGCGAGGCTTGATCGTGCTCATACCCATCCTTCTCAGAGCTAAGAGCTCACGGTCCGAAACCCCATAAACCTCGGTCCCGAAAATACCGCCAGCCATTGGGCCAGCAGCAAAAATTTTAGTGGCCTTGCGCCCGAGGGGCTTATGAAGCTTCCGAAGCCTGCAAGCCTTGCGCGCCGCTGCCGATAAACGCGCCTTCAATTTAACAGCTCTACCTTGTCCGCGAGCTCGGATAGCTTTGCCAGCAGCTGCGTCGATACCTAAGTTGACAATACTCGCCTTAGCTTCTCCAGCCAAGGGCCCAAGCTGGTCATGGATACTGTTCGCAACGCTCTTATGAGAAGTCACAAGCCCGATCTTATCCATGGCCAGCTTGCACTTCAGAGTGGCAGTGATCGCACGATGCAAGATATTGGCACCTCGAACTATGCCCTGCACCACTTCACGAAAAGAACCAGTTTTGCTCAGAGAGGTGTCGTCAATGTAGACATCGAAGTCGATTTTAACGCTCCGAGGGATCTCGTCGAAGGCCGACATCGCGAAAACGCGGATCAAGGAAGTAGCCAGGCTACAACCAGCGATAATCCCGTTTAGCACGAAGTACGGGCCCTCAACAAGACCATTCAGCGCCAAAAACCTAGCGGCCGAAAAAGCGTTAATGGCCAACCTGGCCAGGGAGAGCGGGAAACCGTGTTCACGGCACTTGGCCCAGAGGAAACCTAACCCGATGTGCTCGTAATATTTCCTGAAATCCCAAAACAAGGAAGCCGAGAATTCTCCTTTGCGCGTGCCAATCTCGGCTCGAACGGCTTGCCTCCACACAACGTCGACTGGGCCGCGGTTGGCACCTGCAGCCCAGTAAACTCTAGGATTGTCAGCCTCCCATTGCGCAACTTCGTTCCTCCTCGCCCTTCCCCAAACCCTATAGAACGCAGGAAATATCCCTATCGGTCGGAACCCGCCCGTAGGCTTGGGCAGAAGCGCGAGCAGCACCCAAGCAAGCTGCCTTGGCAGTCTGCCCGTCGCTTCCATGACAAAAAGAAGAAAACTCATAGCCTGCAAAGCCTGGTCGCCAAGGACAGAAAAATGACGGCAATGAAATCCGTCCAGGGACACAGCACTCCGCTCCTGGTAGGTTCTGGAAATATCCCGAAGCTCAAGAGGAGTGAGGAGGGAGGAGGGCAAGAGGATAGAGTCATCTCCAATGCCCATTCCAGTACCCCTACCCCATATGGAAGCAAATTTGTCTCCTTCGGCTTTCAGAAGGTGTTTGGGGTCAGCAACCACAATCCCGTTGGAGGAAAGGGTGGTGGAGGGCGTCCAACCTTCGGGATCCTTCAACGCGGCGCGGGCTCTACGGCCCCCGTTGTCCAGACCAGCACGAAGCCAGTCATGCCAGGCAGTCCTCGAGGAGTTGGCCGCACGCGCCTTAGCTTTTGAACAAAGACCGATCACCTCATCAGCCAACTCCTCAAGTTCCGATCGAAATTCGGCCAACCTATCTTGCGACAAGCTAAGGCCACGCTTGCCTAAGCTAGCGGCAGCACGAAACACCACAGCAAATTCGCTATCAGCAGGAGGCTGGACCGCCGCATCTGGATCTGCAAGAGACTTTAGGATATCAGAAGCATTGCAAGCGTTGACGGTCCAGTCCTGACTGTAGCAGACCAGCGCGTGCAGTTGGGCGTGCAACCAATAAATCGGCTTACCGTGAGCGTCTCGTGCCCGCCCTGCAGGCCTGAGAACTGGCTTCCAGTACATCTGCGGACTCTTGCTTCTGGCTCCCTGCACTCCAAGCTCCACGCCCATGATGTTGGCGAGGTCCCTCTCCGCAGACCTAGCCCAAGAGGAATAACCTGCGTCCAAAGTACTGACAGCCAAAGAAAAATCGTCATTCAAAACCGCTTCATACCCTCTCCGAGCAACTTCCAAGGCCCCAGACCAGTCGCCTTCCTGAGGCTGAGGGCCCACAGGGGGGACCACCGGAATCGGAGGGGGGCGGCGGAAGGCGAGAGCCTTGAGATCCATCAGGGAGGGGTGGAAGCTTAACTTGACGGGGAAATGAGGGCTCGAACCAGCAAGGGTGTCCACCTGGATCGACTTGGTTCCTTTGGCCAGAGCCCGCGAGACCAGGAAGAAATCAAAAACGGACGCCTTGCCCTTGCTGGGAAAGCACGTTCGACTGGAGGGAAAAACGATCTGGCTCGAGAGCAGGAGGTCGAACTCCGAATCCTCCAGGGTGTCAGGGGTCAAGTTCCAGTCGCCCCCCAAAACAAACTCACAAGTCAGACTCGCCAAGAATTCCCCCACCGTAGACAGGATTTTGAGGTTGCCCTCCGAGAGACCTTCAGAGTGAATAAGGTAAATAGAGACCATACAGATAGCTTCGCAACCAGGTGCATGGACCATGGCTGCGACTGCTCTGCCAGGCACCACCACTGTGGTAGACGCAGCGAACATGCCGAAGCCGTCCCGCGCAAAAATAGCAGTGCCCGAGCTGACCCCTCCACCTTCACCAGGGATGCCTGGGCACCACGTCGACTTCCAGCCGAGCTTCAAAGCAGACGAAGAGGCTTGCGCAATGGCGTCAGGATCCAACAGGCGATGCTCCTGGCCCAGGATGACAGACGCGTCCGACGACTCCAGGTACGACTTGAGAGTGCCCCAAGAATTGAGATTGGCCGACACAACCGAAACTCCACCTTCAAAAACTTCAAAACCACCTGATCCTGAGCCCGTGGCAGATCCAACAGGGAACGGGGAGGTGAGGGTGGGGGGAGCCTGGGCGATGCCTGGGGGCACAACAACAGATCCTGGAAGGAGAGGAGCAGTAAAAGCCTGAAACCCAGACCGCTCGCTTCCCGACAAGCCAGGACATTGATGCAGCAATCTACGGAAATACCTAATACCCGACAGGTGCGACTTGGAGTTAATCACGGATTTCCTGTCGGCATAGTCCTTAAAGGCTAAAAAGTTACTGGCCAGGACACGCTGCCCTAGGCTAAAGAGAGTGCTGGCCTGCCGCGGCAGCTGCAGTAGCCGCCTGCGGCGAGACCGACGCTGCCAGTGCCTCGGCGGCCCGCTCACGCACGTCCCGCCCATCTGGCTCTTGCCCAGCAGGCTCGTTGACGACTTGCTTGAAAAGGTCCGATGCCAGCTTCTGCACTCCGTCTCGCAAAGACTCTTTCCGCTTCTCGAACTCCATGCGGTCGGTCTCCGTGACTTCGTACTCCAAACTGAGCTCGTCCAATAGGTCACACGAAAAGAAAGAATTGATATCGACTTTGCCTTCAACCAGGTCGCCCAGCGGAACAGGTGTGAACTGCGCCTTCGACGCGTTGCTGGGCGACCCGATCTTGGCGCTCTCGTTGCATTCCGCCAAGGCATTCTTGTAGTCCTGGTCCGCCTTGGCCAGGGCGGACTTGGTCTCATGCATCTTGGTTGTAGCTTCCTCCAGATCGTTCTGTAGCCTGAGCATCCGCGCGAGGTCGGCCTCGAGCTTCTTCTCCAGCTTCTTGACGGCACTGTCGGCTTGCTGCAACTTCGCCTGAGGAGAAACAGCAGGCGGTGGCTTCTGTGCATTCTCCAGGTGCTTGACGAGGTCTGAGTAGCGCTTGAACGTGACCAGGTCCCCCGCCTTCTGCGAAAGCTCTGAGAGCTGCTTCGCCTCGGCCAGGCTGAGGTTCGGCACGGGCCCAGTCGGAAGCGGAGGCTGACCCGCGACGCCCTTGCCGCCGCTAGCGCCTCCTCCCATGGCTGCAGCGCCACCGAGGCCTTTGCCCATACCTTTTGAGCTAGGACCTCCTGCGTTGAGGAAGGGAGAAGCTGCGAAGACACCTGGAGGTACACCATTCCAATCAGACAAATGAGGACTGCCACCAAACGGACTGCTAGACACACTTTGCAGCGGGGCTTTGCAGTGCATGCAGTGGGTCCACGCGAGGCGATTCTTCTTGCAACCACAGCTCTGGCACACAACTTTGGAAGATGGCTGTCCCTGGGGCTTCCAACTTCCGTACTGCTGACCGCCATGATACTGCGAGGAAGGGGGTTGCCAGTGGTTGTACCAACCCTGGCCTTTCATGAAGAGCCGAAAGACAACCTGTAAGGCCTCGGGCAGGCTCGAACAGGGATCGTAGGAGCACCAACAATAGCTCACTGTAAGCCACCTTGAGCCAAAATGGCTACGGAGCCTCCTCCTCCTCCTCCTCCTCCTCCTCCTCCTCGTCCTGCTCGCTCCCCTGCATGCTCTCCCCGCTCCCGCGATCCTGATGGTACTCCTCCCGCTGCGTTTCGCCACTTCCTCGCTGGGAGGGCGCGGCGTCCGGCGCTCCGCGCCAGGCTGGCCGCCCACACGCGGCGGTTGGCGTGGCGCGCGGCCAGAGCTGGCTCCGGAGGGCGGCGCTGTGCCTCCTCCAGGGTCTGCTCCTTCAGCTGCCGCATCCGCTGTCCCTGCTCCCGGCATATATCCTTCTCCTCCTCCTTGTTCTGCACAACGCTGTGCCTCCTCCTCCTCCTCCTCCTCCTCCTCCTCCTTCTCTTCCTCCTCTGTTTGTCTCGCGCCTGATGCTGTGGATGCTCCATCTCTTTCCGCCCGCTGCACCTCACCTCCTCTCCCATGCTCCCTCCCTCCCTGCCTCCCCTACCTCCTGCTTCCTCGTCCTCGGCCTCCTCGTGCCTCTAGCTTCTCTTGCTCCTGCTCGGCCCGTTGACCCTCCTCCTCCTCCTCCTCCCTTTGTCACCTCTTCCCCTCTTCTCTCCCTCCTGTCTTCCCCCCCCCTCCCAGATATCACCGAGACGGTCAAAGAGATGCGCCGCGCGTCGTTGGAGGAGGTAGACTTCCGCCTGGAGGCGCAGAACGCCAAAGGCCTTCGGGAGGGTAGCGCGCAGCACGGAGGTCAGAGAAGGGCGCAGGGGCATTGCAGCATTGCGCGGCGTTGCGGAAGGATAATGAGGATGGAGCGAGGCCATCGAGAGAGAGGCGGCGGATGAGGTAGGGGGGAACGAGGACTGCACGTGAGCGGGTCATTCGTCTGCCGCTCGTACACTTCAATGCCATGTGGCAACGGACTAAGCACGGGAATGGATTTGGTCTCTCCTTCCTCCCCTGCTCGTCCGTCTCGTCCTTCCCCTCCTCCACCTCCTTCGCCACCCCTTCTCCTCCCCTTTTGACCTCCCTCCTTATCCACGATGTCTTCTTCCTTCTGTTTCCCCTCCCCCGACCTCTCTCTCTCTATCATCCCCCGCTCCTTCATCATCCCCCCTCCTTCCTCCTCTCCTCGTCCCCCATCCTCCTGCCCTCCACCCTCGCCGAACCAGACAGGAGCAGCCACCTCGAAGCTCCCATTGGCTTCCCCCTCCCTCTCCTTCATCTGAAAGAAACGGGCTGGTGGGTGCGGGAGGGGGAGGCTGGCTGGTGGCCACTGTGGGCATTCTTTGAGGGCTGCAGGGACAGCACCCCGAGGGCAGCCGGGAGGTGGACCAGCCGCGGCCTGACCTCAGTCGGCTCCCACATCCGCGCACAGGGGACAACAGCTCTGGTGGAAGGAGGGTCCCCCCACCTCCCTGGCGATCTCCAGGGGAAGCAGGGGATGGAGGGCATCCCACCTTGCACCAAGGGTTTCCCGAGTGAGCGCACGTGAGTGCGGACAGGGAGCTGTAAAAGGGATCCGCCCTGGGGTCAGCCATCCAGTCCTTGCAAGGCATACCGCAGTCTGCCAGCGTGGGTGGTGGAGACCATCCGGATCCGCTCCCAGCCCCCACCCCCGACCCACCTCCGCGGCCTCAGTCCTACCTGACCCCCTTGGGGCCAGGACGCACTAAGCAGCCGGAGACGGCAGGGCGAGGGCGAAGGCGGCTGAGTCTGGACGGAGGAGTGGACGGGGACGAGGGAGGAGGGAGGAGGGATGAGGGAGAAAAGGATGGCTGGCCTGGGCTGGCCTGGGCTGGCCTGGGCTGGCCCGGGCTGGCCTCGGCTGGCCCGGACTGGTCGCGGCTGGCTCAGGCTGGCCTGGGCTGGTCGGGGCTGGCCTGAGCTGGCCTCGGATGGCCTCTGCTGGCCTGGGTTGGCCTGGGCTGGCCCGGGCAGGCCTGGGCAGGCCCGGGCTGGCCTGGGCTCGCTCTCGCTGGCCTCGCCCCAGAAGGAAGGAGCAGGGAGAAGGGAGCAGGGGGCAGACGAGAAGCGAGGGGACACCATCCGGAGAGAGGGGGACGCGCTGAGATGCCCCGGAGGTCACCTTAGCACTGCTCCTCTCGGGCCTCTTCCGACGGGAGGGGGGGGAGGGGAAGCACTGGGATGCCCCAGAGGTCACCTTCACACTGCTCCTCTCGGGCCTCTTCCGACGGAAGGGGGGGGAGGGGAAGCACTGGGATGCCGCGGTGGCTCAAGCCCCGGTGGCTCAAGCCGCGGTGGCTCAAGCCGCTGCCCCCGCCCCCGACCCACCTCCACGGCCTCAGTCCTACCTGATCCCCTTGAGGCCAGGGCGCACTGAGCAGCCGGAGACGGCAAGGCGAGGGCGAAGGCGGCTGAGTCTGGACGGAGGAGTGGACGGGGAGCCCTGGAAATCCCTTCACTCCCAGCTCCCATCAGGTGGGAGAACCCAGCACCCCCGGAGATGGGGAGGGGCTAGGAAGATCAGGGGATCCTCAACGCACTCCCTTCCAGACAATACGGAGGGACGGGGGGGCGCAAGGACGACAGGGGAGGGCGCGAAAGGGGGGGGGGGGACGGACAGAAGAGGGCAGAACCCCGAGCCAAGCCGAGCAGAGACGCAGTTTCCCTGCCGCACCCCATCGTGGCAACGAGAGCGCCCCCCAGGGGCCACCGCCCCAGGAAACCAACACAGCGCAGCAGGGGGGAGGGAGGACGAAGACGAAGACGGGGACGAGGAGGAAGAGAGCAAGGGAAGCAGGAGCAGGGACGGGGGGGGAAAGAGAGAGGAGGAAACCAGAAGCGCAGGAGGGCGGCGATAGGACGCCCAGGGGGTGCATCTTCACGCAGCCTCCCTGGCAGGGGAGAAAAGGAGGGCGGGGAGAGAAGGTGACGCGACTGGGGGAAATGGGCCCCGGAACACCCCGCAAGCAGGAGGGAGGATGTGGGCGGGAGTGTGGAGACGCACTGCTGATGATGCTGATGCTGATGCTGCTGATGATGGTAATGATGCGGGTGATAGCGATGCTGGTAACGTTGATGATGGTGATGGTGATGGTGATGGTGATGATAATGGTGATAATGATGATGCTGATGATACACATGATGATGGTGATGATGATGATGATGATGATGATGATGATACAGATGATGATACTGGTGACGTAAATGATGCTGCTGATGATGATGTTGATGAAGAAGATGGTGGTGAGGATGATGGAGATGGCAATGGTGGTGGTGGTGGTGATAATAATGGCGCGATGATGGTGGTGCTGATGTTGATGCTAATGCGGATGGCGATGGTGATTATGATGATGGTGATGGTGATGGTGATGGTAATGATGATGATGCTGCTGATGATGACGATGCTGACATTGATGATGGTGATGATGACGATGATTATGATGATGATGTCGATGATGTTGATGGTGATGGTGATGAGGATGAGGAAGCGGATGAAGATGGTGGTGATGAGGGTTATGATGATACTGATGCTGATGATGGAGTTTGTTGATGATGATGGCGATGGTGATGGTGATGCTGATGATGCTGATGACGATTATGGTGATGATGCTGATGATGATGATGCTGTTGTTAATGGTGGTGGTGACGACGATGATGCTGATGCCGGTGGTGACGATGGTGGCGATGATGATGAACATGATAATGATGATGGTGCTGATGATGATGTGGGTGTTGATGTTACTGATAATGATGGTGTTGTTAATGGTGGTGATGGTGATGGTGATACTTATAGTGATGATGCTGATGATGATGACGATGATGCTGATGATGGTGGTGATGATGGTGGTGATGATGATGAACATGATGATGATGGTGGTGGTGATGATGATGTGGATGATTGGTGTTGATAATGTGGATGATAATGTTCATGCTGATGCTGATGCTGATGGTGATGCTGATGATGCTGATGATGAGGATGATGATGCTGATGATGATGCTGATGATGATGATGGTGGTGGTGGTGGTGACTATGGGGATGATGATGCTGATAACGATTACGATGATGATGCTGATGGTGATACTGATGGTGATGATGATGATGATACTGATAATGATGATGATGATGATGATGATGATGATGATGATGATGATGATGATGATGATGATGATAATGCTGATGAGTGTGATGCTTATTCTTATGCTTATGCTTATGCTTATGCTTATGCTTATGCTTATGCTTATGATGACGATGATGATGATGATGATGATGATGATGATGATGATGATGATGATGATGATGATGGTGACCAGTGGTCATGAGCATGTTGAGCTGCCGCGTGTGGTCTCCCTCGTCTCCTGCCTCTCTCCGCCCGTGGTCGCTCGGCCCGCTCCCTGGCGACCTCCTCGCGCCCCCTGGCCTGCGGCAGGCCGTCCGTTGCTCTCCGTGCCCCTCCCCCAAGGTCCTTGGGAGGGTTCGGGTTCGAGGTTCCAGGTTGTCTGGCGTTTTCGTCGGTTCTCGGCGGTCTTCCAGCCTCGGGATGCTTGCCAGCAGCTGCGCCTCGCCGCGGGCGTCCCAGGGGTGCCCGGATCGTCCCGAACGCCCGCCGGAGTGCCGGGCGCGTGCTGGGCCTCCCCTCGCAGGGTCGGAGGCGGACAGAACCCTCAACAGTGACACGTCGATTAGTGAATTGTCCGTTTTCGGTTCTCGAGAGGGCGCCGTGGCCGTTGTTTTTCAGGCTTGCGCCTGCCAGGTTTGGGCCTCAGGCCGTTTTCGCTAAGCCACGTTTTACTAAAGGGGGGTCTGTCCATCCCGGGGGTGACGGGCTCGGGGGGAGGGCAGCGCTCCGGGTGCGAGGCCTGCGCGGGCATGCCCGTCGGTTTGCACGGCGGTTTTTGTCCAGCCTCGGGGCGCTGTCCAGCAGCTGCGCCTCGCCGAGAGCGCGCGTCGGGGGTGCCCGACGAATCGTTTTGGACGCCGGAGATCCGAGCTATGCCCGAAGGCCAGGGGGCAACGCCAGGGGGGTCTGTGCTCAGTGGGGGTGCAACGGCGCCCACTCGCCCATTCACCCGCCGATGGGGGCCCGGCAGCCGCACGTCGCACCGGAATGTGCGGTTTCCCCACCAGGGGCCCATCGCCGATCTGTCGGGGACGTATCGCCGGATCAAGCTTTTCCACCCCCCATCGTTCACCCCCATCCCCTTCCATCTTGCTCGTCGGACGGAGGCGATGAGGGGGCAGGGGGGAAGCTGAGCCGCGAGGGGGGGGATGGACGGAGTGAGTGCGGAGGGGCGGAAGGGGCGACGGCGGATGGGCGGGAGCAGACATTGGGCAGGGCGGGGGGTCCGGGGCAGGGGGAGGAGGGAGGATGGCCTCTCGGGCACGGGAATGTTGGATTTTCGCTCTGATTCGCCGAGGGGGCGGTCAGCTTGGTGCGGCACTCACTAGATGCTGGCAGAAACACGCGGTATCTAGCAACAGGGGCGCCAAGGTGTAAATGCTCCGCCCGACCTATCCCTCGGGCACGGGAGGGAGGGAGGGAGGACGATCGTCCTACAGGAGCGATCAAGCGGTCAATAATGCCGCCCTGTGCTGCGCCCGCCACGCGGCGCGCCCTGCAGCAGAGTTCGAGCGCCTGCGCACGCGTAGAGCTCCGAGGGTAGCGTGCCGAGCACCTCGCGCGGCTTGCGGAGACGTGATCCCTCCTGCTCGGAAGACGTCCTCGGACGCTCACGTCACCCTTGCGCACACTCCT